AGAGAGAGAGAGAGAGAGAGAGAGAGAGAGAGAGAGAGAGAGAGAGAGAGAACCCCCTCCCTCTAAACCAGTGACAAGATTAGGCCCCTGAGGTACATCCAGCACCACAAAGCCCCAGGTTTGTTGACATGGCTGCAAGTGTGTGTGTGTGTGTGTGTGTTTGTGTGTATGTGTGTCTGTGAATGTGTATGTGTGTATGTGTGTGTGTGAATGTGTATGTGTGTGTGTGTCTGTGAATGTGTATGTGTTTGTGTGTGTCTGTGAATGTGTATGTGTGTATGTGTGTGTGTATGTGTGTGTGTGTGTGTGTGTGTGCGTGTGTGTCAGAGAGAGAAGACACCCCCTCCCCCCCCTCCCTCTAAGCCAGTGACAAGATTAGCCTCATGAGGTACATCCAGCACCACAAAGCCCCAGGTTTGTTGACACGGCTGTAAGTACATAAGTCACACACAAACCCCCGGGCGACACAAACCCCCCGGCGACCCCGGCGACACAAACCCCCGGGCGACGCAAACCCCCGGGCGACACACGACACCACGTCTGTGGCACAACATTGGGAGGCCGGTCACGCAGTTCTCAGACCTAACACAGACTGGCCTCACGGGTGGTTGGCGGGTGCTCCTGTGTGGTTTGCTCCTTCTTTCCTATCAAACATCTATCTTCCTTATCTCTCCTTTCTTTCCTATCAAACATCTATCTTCCTTATCTCTCCTCCTTCTTTTTTTGTGTTTGTTACTCTCATGTAACACGTCTATTCTTCAGCACTTATATGACCTTATTGTGTTGCAAGTGCCGTAAAACTCTTACTAAAACAAAAAGACTGGCCTACACTGACGTCTGTGGTGTAGCAGTTAGGCTCTCTGCTGTCAAACACAGGGGACCAGAGTTCAATTCATGAGGGGTGGGGAGAGAATATTTCATCGAGCATCTCGGTCTTTTTTTTTCTGGGATGCTGTATCCCTCTCGTCCCGATAGACAGGGTCACAGGTCAAAGTCCAACTGCTTTTTGATCGAACATGGGGTCGTCGGAACACAAAATACATGAAACACACCACAGCAGACCACCTGCCAACCATCCACATTGAATCGATGGGATGATGTAGCCTGCCCTCTAAGTGAGACAACTTGTATGGATGTGGGGCGGGGCGTAAACATGCGCAATACTCTATCAGTGAGTCAACTTGTTTAGTTCAGTTTTTAATAAAAGTTTTACGGCACTTGCAACACAATAAGGTCACATACGTGCCGAAGATTAGAGGTGTTACAAGAGAGTAACAAACACAAAAACAGGAGATATCAGGACGAAAGATGTTTGATAGGAAAAAAGGAGCAAACCACACCAGAGCACCCGCCAACCACCCACAGATACAAGCTTCCAGTACTAACCTTGTGTACTGTGTCCCTCTCGGACATGACCAGAGCGTACTCCTTGACCGCTGCGTCTTTCTCTGCCCTCAGACTCTCAAAGTTCTTCTTGAGCTCTGCGTGTTTGGCGAAGGTCTGGTTGAAGTCCTTGCAGAAGTCGTCGCGCTGTTTGATCACCATGTTGAGCCGCTCCTTCACCTGGCTGTGCTTGATCAGGCTCTGGGGACACACCACGCACAACACGCTCACAACTACATACGCCACACAACACGGTCACAACTACATATGACACACAACACGGTCACAACTACACACAACACGGTTTACACTGGCTAATGAACAAATCCACAAAACAAATGTCCCAAGCCCACTTTACCCGCCCC